AGGGCCTTACCTACATTTGGGGGAACGAAAGAGCTCGCTAATGTAACAACGGACCAGAGAGTCAGTCCAATCACAATTAAATACTTTCTTTTCCACCGATCACCTAAGTAACCGAAAACTGGACTCAGAGACATGTAGGAAACAATGAACGACGTTTGAAGAAGTCCAAGGAGTTTACTATCGATACCATAGTAATCTCTAATCATGTTGGGTATTCCTGCAAAATTTATTGTCGTCAAACTAATTTTACCTGCGATAGTAAACCTATCCATGTAGTTAAGCAAGTTTATACAAAAAAGGATGACCACAGTGACGCGGTCTTGCACTTTGCTTCTAAGTGAAACTTCACATGGATTATCCAACAGTGGCTCAGACGACTGAGCAGGTGCACCGGAACTAGTATCTTTACTTTCTTCCGACGCCATCCGAGTACGATCAAGATCTAAAACAAATGAGTCGGGAAAAATGATAGAGCAGTCGAAGCGATGTATCCCAAACAGTAACGAAAGAATAAGAATAATATAAAGTAAGTAAAGGAATGCCCCGACAGAGAGTGTCGTGGCAAAGCAGTACAGAAATTTTGGACTTAACGGAAACGGCGAGGGTTGGTATGAAATATGGACCAGATTAGGAGTCAGTGACGAAGAAGTCAATAGGATTAAAGTGAACCTGGAGCGTCCCGCATACGGTTTCCGTTTTCGGAACCAAATGCGGCAGCTTGACTTATACACAGGAGAGAAAAACATAGGGACTAGTCGACGGGCGAAAATCGAGTGCTGTGTCTGCTGCGGAATGAATATTATACAATTACACGCAGTGGATCGCTTCATATTGAACGCAGTGTGAGAGGTGCCCTTGATGGTTTTAGAAGGTAAAACTGATCAGGCATAGGTTTTAAAACAGACGAAAAATCCTCCGGGCATATTTCCTTTATCGCTGTACCGAATACACCTTCGTAGACAGCCTTGAAATATAAATGGTTTATAAACGGAGACTCAAATATCAAAAACAATTTCGAAGACAAACTCAAGGCGAACAGAAACTAAACTTAGAGAGTTATTGCGGCATGTTGAATAACCTCCTAGACGCCGGAGGTCGAAAATAGCAGGATAGTGGTTTTCGTTAGGGTGGCAGTAAGGAGATTTTAGGAAACATGTGTTGCACCCGTGTTGACGCATGCATATAAATAGGGCATCAGTTTCCTTTCAGACCC